GACCCTCCCAGACAAATAGCCTCCACACTTTTGGTTGAAAACCTCCGGGGAAGACTCTGAAAAGTAGGCTGTTCTCCTTCTGTACTTAATAACACTCACAACCAAATTTCAGCTTCTTTCATGTTTGGAAAAAAATCTAAACCCCTGGATCATTTATCACTGTCTTCTTTTTCAATATTTTTGGCCTCTCAATCTAACCCAGAGATTTCCCCATCCAGGTAACCTGGTAAGAATGTCCTACACTTTATATATATATATATATATATATATATTTTCCTCGGTTCCTTTAAAAACAAAATCTTCCGCAGTTTGACTGTGTCTTGTTTTGTATTTCCAGTTTTATATGGAGCTCTCTGATTGATTTCAGGATTGTTGCATAAGTGGCTTTGCCTTTATTTATTTGTTTTTCTCTGCATAAATTAACATATGCAAGCCACTGTGTATTGCAAACTAGAAATGCACAAAGAACGGAAGGCTGTGACTGAGGCGTATGAAAACATGATGGGGTGGGACACTGCGATGTACATGGGGACACGCTCAAATTCTGCATGAAGTGAAAGCTGACTGCCTTCATGTTTTCAAACAATGCAGAGCTATAGGAGTCAAAATGCCTGTGTCTAGTATCTTATGTACTGCCTGCGCCGTGGAATGTGAACCTGGAGAATCAGTGGAGAGAAATTTTGGCAATCCAGAGATTTCCCATGGAAGCAGTAGAAAATCTCATCAGAGGGAGGCGCTGATTAAGAGATTGCACAGTCCTGAGTTAGATGGAAGAGTAGCGAAGTTGTTCAGGATAGCCACACCCTAGAATCCCTCCGGATATGGCAATAGCAATAGCATTTAGACTTATATACTGCTTCACAGTGCTTTACAGCTCTTTCTAAGTGGTTTAGAGCAGTGGTTCCCAAACTTGGCAACTTGAAGACTTGTGGACTTCAACTCTCAGAATTCTCCAGCCAGCAGAGCTCTGCTGGCTGGAGAATTCTGGGAGTTGAAGTCCACAAGTCTTCAAGTTGCCAAGTTTGGGAACCACTGGTTTAGAGAATCAGCATGTTGCCCCCCAACAACCTGGGTCATTTCACCAACCTCAGGAGGATGGAAGGCTGAGTCAATCTTGAACTACTAAGGATCGAACTGCTGGCAGTGAGCTGAATTAGTCTGCAATACCGCATTCCAGCCACTGCGCCACTGTGGCTCCTGTTTTATCTAGAAGGTTGTGGCTTTAGTGTGCTCTGATTCTATCATTACGTTTAAGCAAATAAAGGATTGGACTCGATCAGATTTTGTGGAGTTGTCTTTGGGTTTGAGCCTGCCAATATGTGATTTTCTCTGAGACTGGTTGAGCTGGGAACTTGCATATAGAATTCTCTATTCCTTGTTAGGAAAGCAATGAGGAGAAGACTACATTTAGATCAAGCCAAGAGAGATCCTCTGATAATAGCAATAGCACGTAGACTTGTATACTGGTTCACGTGCTTTACAGCCCTCTCTAAGCAGTTTGCAGAGTCAGCCTATTGATCCCAACAATCTGGTTCCACCTGGGAAGGATGGAAGGCTGAGTCAACCTTGAGCCTGGAGAGATTCGATCTGCCAAACTGCTAGCATCCGGTGATCAGCAGAAGCAGCTGATCTATCAAAAAAACACGCTGTTATAAATAATGGAGAAATACAGGTGATGCTTGTATGATGCTTGCACTGAAGGGAGCCGAGGTGGAGCAGTGATTAGAGTGGAACCCTGCAGGCTGCTTGAGCTGACTGCTAGCTGCAGTTCAGCAGTTCAAATCTCATCAGGCTCAAGGTTGACTCATCCTTCCATCCTTCTGAAGTGGGTAAAATGAGGTCCCAGATTGTTGGGGGCAATAGGCTGACTCTGTAAACCGCTTAGAGAGGGCTGTAAAGCACTATGAAGCAGTATATCAGTCTAAGTGCTGTTGCTATTTTGAACCATGGGATTCTCATTATGCTTTTATTGGAATCCATAAAGTGTAGGGAGAAGATGGAATGTATTTTGCATTTTTGTCTACGTATGTCAGCACTTGGGTGATTTCATAGAACAAGCTGAAGATGGAGTAGATACAAATTACACTTTTTGAATGAATACAGGGCTCAGCCTTCCATCCTTCCGAGGTGGGTCAAATGAGGACCCAGGATTGTTGGGGGGCGATAGGCTGACTCTGCAAACCATTTAGAGAGGGCTGTAAAAGCACTATGAAGAGGTATATAAGTCTAAGTGATATTGCTATATTACAGTAATGAAAAGACTGCAAGCAAACAATGAAAAGTCAGAGAGCACCAAGGACTCCACAACTTCATCTCTTCTGTTATGGGCTTACATTATAGTAGTGGAACCTACTTTCCTAATACTGCTACCCTGATGGAAGTGCACACACACACACACACACACACACACACACACACACACACACACACACACTCCTTCTTCACACACTTGCATAACCCCACACCGCACAGCTCCCGTTTCTAATGAAAAAGACATCCAGGTTCCAAACATAGAACTCCGTGTCAGGTCTTATTTGATTCTTACAGCGAACAGTAGAAAGCAGTGAAAGAATAAGAGTCGCAAGAATTACTGTGTTTTTCAGAGTATTTTCCCTCAGAAAAGAGGGTGAAAATCTGGGTGCATCTTATACACTGAATACAGCATTTTTTGCCTCCCGAAACCCCGCCCTCTTCACCAAAATGGCTGTGCAGAGCCTTTAGGACGCTTCCAGAGTGCTTCCGTGGTTTGGGGAGGGCATAAATGAATGAAAAACGGGCTGTTTTTTACTCGTTTTTGTACACCCCAGACCTCAGGAGCACTCTATAAGCCTCCTAAAGGCTATGCATGCCCCTTTTTAAAATGAAAAACGGGCTGTTTTGGAGAGGTCTGCAGAGCGCAAAAACTTTTTTTATTTGCCTCTTCAAATGGTGCGTCTTATACTCCGGTGTGTCTTATACTCTGAAAAATACGGTCGTTTACTGCACAGTGACATCCCCCAAGTCTTGAAATGGAGGGCCAATCATGGCCCATGATTCTTGAACTCGATGACCCGAACGAGGTAATCTGAAATCACAGGACGTGCAAGACTTCCGGAACAAAAGCTATTTCTCAGAAGTCGTTTGGCATAAACGAGGCCATATCTGTCTCTGTGTATTAGGCTAAGTGCAGAAAGAAGTTCTGCAAGGCAACATTTCCTTTCTTCTCCTTAAATCTCATTGTATACTTACCGCAAAGTGTCTTGTTACAGACACAAGCCCCCTGCCTTCACCAAAATCCAAATCGGTTCTTTGTTCTCTGCTATTTATAGAAGATCCTTAAATCCTTGATTTTTTTAAAAAAATGGGAATCTAATGTACCCATTAAATCTACTTACGATCATACTAACTGGAGGATCACCAGTGACTCTGGAGGATGATAAGACAACTTGCCTTAATCTAGGACAAATGAATTATCTAGCATTGTTTACTCTGGCAATGGCTTTTTTTTCCAGGTCACAGCAGAGATATCGCCTAGTACGTGCCTTTCTATCTAGAAAACGACAGGGAATATCTTGCAAGGAGACAATAGAAATAACAGACTGGATTTTTTAAAAAAAAAACTAGTTGCAACAACATAACATATTAAAATGGGTTCCACCACAAAACCGCGTTCGACTAAAGGGCGCTCGACGAAACCGCGTAGCTGACATCATCACAGCGCAACAACAGTGCGGAG